AAAAAAAAAAAAAAAAAAAAAAAAATATATATATATATATATATATATATATATATATATATATATATATATATATATATATATATATATGTTTTCTTTGAAAAATGTTCAAAAAGAAATAATGAACTTCAGTTATATATGTTTATTAAGTAATATAAAAATATGATGTACATTATAATTTGATAAATTTTTTTTTTGTATATATAATATATATTTATATATATATATGTATATGCATTTAATATGTTCTTAGCTATTAAACAAGAGAGTAAATAAATTTAAGTTTGAAAAAAATATATAAAAAAAGAAAAAGAAAAAAGATGAATAACTAAGTATAAAATTTATAAAACAATGCATGACAATAATTTTTTAGAAGATTTGTATGATATAAAGTTTGAGGATTTTTTAAATGATTTTATTTTATTTAAAAATGAGAAAATTCTAACAAAAAATAGCAGTGTGTTAGATAATGATAGAGTAAATTCAACTGAACAAAAAGATTTACATGAAAAAAGTAATTTAATTTATTGTTTGGCAAATAATATTTTAAATAATAAACCGAATATTCATCTTTTTAGAAGGATATATTGGCCTCTTTTACTAGGTATTTATAAATGCAATAATTTAGAAGATTTAATAAAAGAAATACAAAAAAGAAGGAATTTATATAAGCAGGATAGAGAAGAATATATAATTAAACAAACAAACTTAAATATTCAAAAGTTAGACCCTCAAATTTTTCATCCATTATCATCCGATGATAAAAATCCATGGACATTGAAAAAAAAAAACCAAGAATTAAATGAAGAAATAAAACAAGATATTTTAAGAACTTACTCAGAAAAAAAAATATTTCAAAATGAAGAAATAAGAAACACATTAAATAAAATATTATTTGTGTGGGCAAAAAAAAATCCATCAATATCATATAAACAAGGTATGAACGAAATCGTAGCTATTTTATTTATAGTTAATTATCGTGAGCAAATTCATAATGATTTTTCAAATTATGAAAATAAAAAATATTATAAAGAATTCTGTTTATTATTTAACAAAGAGGAAATAGAATCAGATACTTATATAATATTTGATCATTTTATGCATATGGGATTGAAATATTTATTTACATCAGTTGATGAAAAAAAAATGCAATCATCAAAAAATTCCTGTAAAACTGTATTATTACAAAAATGTACTTATATTTTTCATAAATTATTAAAAAACTCAGATAAGTTATTATATAACCATTTAATATCATTAAGTATTGAACCACAGATTTTTTTACTTAGATGGATTCGTCTTTTTTATTGTAGAGAATTTCAAATTGATGATACAGTTATTTTGTGGGATAATTTTTTTTCAGGTTTTATTTTTTTTACTGTGTTAATACATATACATAATTTTAATGCTTATAATAATAATAATAATAATATATTCATATTTTTCTATTTAAAACTTATGTTTTTACATTAGTGTTTTATATATTTTATATATATATATATATATATATATATATATATATATATATATATATATGTATGCATTTATTTATTTATTTATTTTATTTTTTTTTTTTTTAGATTGTTACTTAAAAAACTGTGAAAATGATTTTTTTTTTGACTTTAAAGGAGATAATATAGAAATAGCTCATCAAACTTCTAATGTTTTTCCTTTGGTTGATTATTTTGCTATTTCTATGATTTTGTTTATAAGATCCTTTTTATTAGAAAATGATGAAAATTTTTGTTTAAAAAGACTATTTAAATATCCACCAGTTGAGAATATAAGAATATTAATAGATTTAACATTTAAAATTAAATCTAGAAATGAAAAAAAAGAAAAAAATATAAAGAATGGTGATGTATCAATGGAAAATAAAGTTAATCCTGTAAAAATTATAAAAAGTAATAATTTCAACACAAGTATGAATTCTAATACATATAATAGTTTAAATGAATATCAAAATAATAATAATATAAAAAATAATCATGATAATTATATAACTAATGAGAGTATAGAAAGAAATAAATATAAACCTAATTTTAATGTTCTCACATTGAATAAAGAAGTAAAAACTTATGGTATATCAAAAACTTTATCTAATATGAATAATAAACTAAATAAAGTTATAGATAATTTAAATATTTTTTCTTTAAACTTAATAAATGAAAATCAACGTATGCAACTTCAGCAAAATATATTTCATTTGAATGAAATATATAATGAATTAAAAAATATAGAACATAAATTTGAAAAAAATGAATCTGAAAGTGTAGGAATTCACAAAAAAAGCGAAATACCGATATATTTGGGATAATTCATTAATCTTATTAAAGGAAATTAAAACATATATATATTAAAATGAATTTACTAACAAATTTTTTTTTTTTTTTTTCTTTTTTTTTAAATTCCTTATACATATTTTTTAATCATATATATATATATATATATATCTTTATTTTGTTTTATATATATTATTTTACACTATATATATGTTTATCATAATATACATATATATATATATATATATATTTTTTTTTTTTTTTTTTATGTTTATAATCTTTATTACAAGTAATATTCAAAAAGATCATCATTAAAAAATATATATTATAGACATTATATATATTTAACTTATTTTTTTTTATTTTTGATTTTATAATTTTAATAAATTTCTAATTGTTTTATTATTTCAATTTTTAAAAAGATTAAAAAATTAAATGTTAAAAATCATAATAAAGGAAAACAATTTTATAATTAGAAATACAATTACTTTATAAATTATTTTGTAAAATTTTGAAGAATCTAATAATATAAAATAAAACAATTGTCTAAAAATAAACTCTTCCAATAAATTAAATATTGTAAAATAAATTATACAATAGAAAAATAAAAATGTTGCATTAAATGCATTTGTAATTTTTTTTTTTTTTAATCTATTGTATCACTATTTATTCATCATTTATATGTTATTTCTCGTAGGTTTTAAATATTTACTTTTTTTAAATGAAGAAATTTTAATATATATTTAAAGGAAATTTAGAATTACTTATTATATTTTTTTATTATTCTTATTTAATATTTATAACTGTTATTTTTAATAATTGTTAAATTTTCGTACTTTTTTATGACAATATTCTATATGTATGTTCATATTATAAGATGCTTTTTTTATTTTTAATATTTCTACATTCTATATATTTTACTAATATTTTCTTCATTTTTATTTTTTTTTTTTTTTTTTATCTTTTATACATTAATTTATTTTTAATAGTCCCAATTCAAAGTAATATACTTGAAGAAAAACTAAAAAAACAAAACATGTTAAAATATAATGAAGTACACATATGAAAGTGTAAGTATTGCATTAAAAATAGTACATGACTAGATATTCTATTTTAATTTTATATGCTGATAACCATTTTTATGATAAAAATACATCATTTTATGTAAGTAATAAACAGTATATTGAATTCTATATAGTTAATTTGATTACATATATTTTTAGTATAAAAGTAATAAAAGACATAATAAAAGTAAAGGTAAAAATTGACATATTTTTTTTAATTTTATCTTTTTAAGAATATATAAAATTTCATTTTTTGTATATAAAAAAAATGAAAGAATATATTTTATTTCAAAATTCTTCAAATAATATTTATACTTTTGAAAGCTATGAAAAAATAATAGTTAAAATTACGTTTATCGCTAGTACCATAACATTTTTTTTCTCAATATTGTCAATTGTATTTGTTAATATGTTTCCACAAGATGAAAATAATAAATATGTTGATATTAATATAAATATAAAAGATGAGAAAAAACCTAAAACATATTTATATATACAAAAAGATACTTCCTCATTTTCTAACACAGAAATTGATAAAAGTGATAGTGATACTTGCAATGATACTTTTAATTCTGAAAATGAAAAGGAGAAGGAAATATCAGAAAATAGAGAAAAAGAGATAGAAATGAATAAGGAAAGAGAAGAAATGAATGAAAAAGAAAAATTAAAAAAAGAGGATAACGTAGAAGAAAAAGAAAAAGAAAAAACAACAAATGAAAAGCAACAGGAAAATGAAAATGTAATAGATAAGGGAGAGAGCATAATTCAGAATAAAGATGAAGAAGAATATAAAGAAAAACAGAACAAAGTCATAAGAATAGTAATTCAATAGAATGAAAAATAAAAAAGGAAAAATTATATGAAAGTAAAAACAATCCATATGCAATGTCTTTTTTTATTTTTTTTTGATACATGCATGTACAAAAATTATATGAGAATACAAATAATTTGGATATATTATGTTTCATAATTTTTAATTTTATAAATTAAAATTTAAAATAAAATTATTTGTTATATCTAATGTTAATTCTTGTTACATGATATTATAAAATTCATTTTTTTATTTGTCTTTTCTTCTTTGTAAAAAAATTTATTGTCTTATTATATGCTGTATATATACTTTTCAATTTCTAATTTTAAATATGAGATACTATTATTCACAATAAATAAGAAAGGTTTACCTTAATAGAGACATAGAAAAATAAAAAGGGAACCACATTTTTTTTTTTTATACTTTTAAGAAATATAAAATTTTTTTTTTTTTGTATCAATAAAAAAAAAATAAAGGAAAATAAATAATTTTTATTAATTTTATTTATTACAATTAAAGCAAATATAAATGTTGTTTATCTAAATTTAAAAAAAAAAAAAAAAAAAAATTAATTATTTATATATAAATATATTTCTTAAATAAAAATATTATCAATGATACTTAAAAACTTATAAGTAAAATTCTATTATTCATCCAATATATTAAAATGAACATACTAATAGAATCTATATGAAATTAAAATTGATCAAAACATTATAGAGAATATTAAAATGAAATTTTAATTTCTGTACAATTATTTTTGATTTTTATGTTATTTCTTTATTTTATTTTATTTTTTTTTTTTTTTTCTTGTATTTGATAAGTGAAATAAAGAATTAATAAAGTTTTTTTTTGCAGAATTTTATTCACAATTATAGTGTCATAAAAAATTAAATTTACAGAAAAAAAAAAAAATTAGATATATTATCTATAAGTTAAATATATCAAAATTTAAAATAAACAACAACATATTTATAAATGTAATTTTTCTTTAATAAAAAATACACATTAATAAATAAATTATGATTAAGAGTTATAATATTTATACGATACTGTAAAATCAATAGTTTGACCAGATAAAAACGGAATAACATCAAAATATTCATTAGGTATTTTGAATTTTTTCTTTTCTATATATACAGCAAGTTCTCCTTCATTTAACTTCTTCTCTTTTAAATTTAAAAATCTTGCAGCATTTTTGCAAGCAAAATTTTCTAGTTTATCTAAGCAATCAATTCTGTTGAATATATGAGATAAATAAGATAATAAAAAGGGTTGTGTATAAATTCCTGGTTTAAAATATGGATTGTTTTTATGTTCTCTTTTGTGAGGTGCAGAATCAGAACCTAAAAATATCCTTGGAAAATCTTCTTTTATAATATTACATAATGCAATTTTGTCATCAATAGTTTTTGGTATAGGTTTGCAATAATTATATACATTTTTTATATATTTCTCAATATTAACATTATCTAAAGAAAAATCATATTCGTTTAAATTAACTACATCATCTATAGTTAAATATAAATGATGAGGCGTTACTGAACCTGCTAAATTCTGAAATTTTTTAATTATATTTATTGTGTCTACAGTTGATATATGTTCTAAAACAATTTTTAAATGAGGAAACTTTACAGCTAAGTCATGTATGTGATCTAAATAATTTTTCTCAGCATATAACGGATTTATGTTGGGTTCTTCACAATGTATATGTAAACTTTTATTTAATTTTTCTAAGGTAGAAAATATTTTATAGTATGGTTCTAAAGTTTCAATGCCTTCTTTAGAATTAGTTGTTACATTATTAGGATAAATTTTTATTCCCTGAAAATTGCATTCTTTATAATTGTTCAAGATATCATTTTCATCTGTTTTTTTATTTAAGTATAATGTCATTAGATAATCTATAGTATTGTCGTATTTCATTAATTCATTTTTATAATTTTTTGCATCTTCACAACTGCTTATTATAGGAGTTGTATTAGGCATCACCAATACCCTATTACATCCTCCTTTTTTTATTGCATCTACGGTAAATTTTAACATATCATCTTGCCTTAAATGGCAATGCATATCATCTGCGATTGGTAAAAATATAGACTCAAACATTTTATTATATTATTTTTCTCTTTGTAAATAAAAATAATTAAAGTGGAAAAATATAAATTTTATGAAAATTAATACAATTAAAATTTTACTTTAAATGTATTACATATAAAAAAAAAAAAAAAAAAAAAAAAAAAAAAATCTGTTTAACAAATATTTTAATTTACAAAATAATATAAAAAAATTTGCATAAATATATATTATTTTAATTTTATCTTATCATAAAAAATAATCATTGTTATATAATTCTAAATTCATCATTTATTATAAAACATTAAAACCTTATATTTAAAAATAAAAGATATACTTTATAAACAAAAGCGTATTTCTGTAAAAACTAATTTTTACATACAAAATATATAAAGAAGTTAACTTTTTACTAAACAAAAAACATAACAATATATTATAATATTTACATAAATTTCATATCAATAAAAAATTATAATTATTTATTTTTAAAAGATATATATTTAGGACCTAATATTTTTAATACATTTTTTTTTTTTTTTTTCTCAATCTTTTATAACCATATATTAATAATAACAAGGAAGGTTAATTATAAAAGTAATGTTTTTTCCTATAATATAAATATTAATTATTTTTAAATATATAAAAAAATATATTCTGGAATATTTCGTTGTTTTTAACGTTATATATAATTTTTTTTTATTTTCTCTATATATATATATATTGTTTTTTATTATAAAATAATAATTTTATATTATTTTTTTTTAAAATAAAGGAAACATTGTTTGCCTCTTTAGCTCAGTTGGTAGAGCGCCAGACTTTTAATCTGGTGGTCAGGGGTTCGAGTCCCCTAGGAGGCTTTTGCAAATATACTATAATAAACAATATTTTTATATGTTACGGTTTTTTTTTTAATCATTTTTCATGTTCAATTTTTTTTTATAATTAAAAATAATTTAAGAAGATATATCATTAAAAAACATAGTTCAAACATATTATTAATATATATGAATATTTTATATGTATTAAGAGACAGAAAAGAGAAATAGCCAATATTAAAGTAAATTTTTTTTTTTTTTTTATAAAATAATCTTTTTAAAATTAAATAAATTGTCTTGTTCATGTTATTGTAAATGTTTTTTATTCATCTAAAATGTTTAATTTTTTGGATTAATTTTATATTAAATTATACTTGATACTTTATTTTAGTAAAACGAAAGTTATAAAATTTTAAATTATAATGAAATGATTTAATTATGAAAGTTAAAATAAATGAAAAATACTCATTTTATTTATTTACATTAAATGTATATAGCTTTACATATAATTTTTTCATTAGTTAAAATTTACAAATCATATATACTACTTTTATATTATTCATTTATATCTTGAAAAATTATAGATTAAAGGATGAAAACTTCATTTTTATACAAAATTTAAATATTATTAATAAATGAAGTAAAAATGGATTATTCTAAAACATATAAAAAAGAACAAGAAAAAATATAAATTTAATGTTTGTGCAATTTTTTTTTTTTTTTTTTTTTTGTTATACCATAAAAATAAAAAGGTCAAAATTATTTTTACTTGTGTTTGTAAAAAGTGAAATATATCCAAGAAAAAAGAGAAAGTTTTCAATAGCTACAATATTAAATAAAAATATTTCTCTTTTTCACTGAGTACATATTTAGAAGCATTGTAACATTAATTAAAATATATATTTATGTTATACGTATTTTAAAAAATAGCTATAAACAAATGAGGATGTAGTTACATTTTATTTCCCTGATCTTTGTACAATTTTTTATTATTCGTGTAAATTATTAAAAAATTTATCATTTTTAATTAAAAATTTTGTTTTAAATATAAAAAGTATGACATTTAAGTGAAATGAGAGTAAATTATGCTACATTTATTAAAAAAAATATATATCATTTTCAGTATTCTTTTTTTCTTTCAATGGGATGTAATTAATTCTCTTAATTTTCATTTTAAGGTTAGAGAATACAACACAAAAATAGTGAGTGATTATTTTTATTTAAATAAAAAATTATTTAATAATTATTTATTTTTAAAAACTTTTAAAAAAAAAAAATTTTTATTAAAAACAAAAAAAATAAAAAGTACTAATGAAAATGAAGAGGATAATCTTGGGATTGAAATAGAAGTAAAAATAAAATTTTGCTATTTTCCACTTATTAAAATTTATTAAAATTGCACTATATAAATGAAAAATATGTTTTAAGTGTATTCATATATTACTTTTTAATATTTTTAATTTTTTCCAAAGGATCTTATAAAGAACATAGAGAAAGGCAATTATGGTGAGGATTCTTTAAAACTGTATAAAGAAATTGAAGTAAATAAAAAAAATATGAAAATTGATTATCATCATTTATAATGTAATAAATAAAAGAAAAAGAAAAATTTTAAAATGAACATTTTTTTTTTAAGAATAATAGTAAATTAAAAGAGGAAGAAGAAAAAAAGATAATTGAAAAGTATGAAAAAAAAATGAATATTTACAATGTAGATGATGTAATTAAAAATACAGATGATAAATTAAAAAAATGTGTCAGAAGTGCATTTTCTAGTACAAGTAAAAGTGAAACAGAAGATCCTTACATAAAAAAAGAGCACAACATTATGAACAAAATTGGTGAAACATTTGATGAAATAATAGATGATGATTACCCGGAAGAAGAATTAAATATTTCAAATATATATAAAAAAGTTAATTCTACCAAAGATAATAATTCAGATAGTCCATTTAAAAATGCTGCTAAGACATTATTAAAGGTATTTATAATTATTCTATTTGTTATATAGATTATTTTAAAAAAACAAATTTTTCTTTATAATTTTCAGTATAAAGGTTTGTTACGTATGCCATTTGAAAAATGTCCTTTATTAAATAATAGCTAGTAATTAGAATTTTTTTTTTCATTTAATAATTATAATATAGTTATAATTTTACATAAAAAAAAAATGTTTCTTTTTTACAACATATATATTAAATTTTTAATTATCATAATATAATATTACTTTTTTTATTTTTCTATAAAATTCTGATCATTGAAATATATTGATAATTTTTTTTTTTTTTTTTTATTTAGCTTTCATTGGAGAGAATCAATGAATTATATAGAATGTTATATTCCTATTTTTCAAGGTAAAGTATAAATTAATAAAAATAAGTCCATTGTAAAATTATAATATTATATCTTAAATACATTGCTTTATGAATAATTCTTTTCTTTTTATACTTAATATTTATCTCTATATATATGTTTATTATTTAAGGAACTGTTAATAAAGATATACTTTTTTATTTTAAAAATGATTATATTAAGTTGGAAATACTTAAAGGTAGTGATAAAATACTTTTATTAGATCATAAGGTAAAATATAATCACAAAAAAAAAAAATAAAATAAAATAAAATAAAATATAATAAAATAAAGACAAGTAAAATAATATAATATACATATATATATATATTTAATTTTATAAAATAAATATGAAATGAATATAATTTTTTAAATTTTTTCGTTTAGTTATGTGGAAAAATAAATTATGCTGATACATATTGGGTTATAACGAATGATTATATAGTTAATGAAAAACACATAAATTTAATTATGCCTAAATTAGGAAATTATCTTTATATATGGGAAAAACTTTTACAAGATTAAAACAAACAATTTAAATTTTGTACTTTAATAATTAGTTTTAATAAGAATAATCATTATTTAAATTAAGGTACATTTTATATAATAATTATATAAATATTTACAAAATTGGTGTATTTGTTTACATGGTGTGATTATGCATTTTGTATGTTAATATCAAGAAGAATATTATAACAATTTATAATTTAAAATAGACAGAGATTTGTGTTATACAGTTATTATTTAATATAATTTTTTTTTTTTTATATATATGTAACACATTTTATTTTGTTATTATTTTTTTATTTAAAAAAGTTCCTATGTCAAAATATCTCAAAATAAATCTTATCATATAAAAAAAAATAAATAGAATAGTAATAATTAATGTATATTAAAAAGAAATATACGTTCATGTTAACAAAAAAAATTTAACTTAATAGGAAGATAAAAATTTAATAAAAAAAAAAAAAATTACTAATAAATAAAATATTATAGATAAAAATGAAATTTCAATTAACGTAATAGAAGTTACAAAAAAAAAAAAAAAAAAAAAAGAAAAAATTAAAAATATAAAAGAATATACTATAGTAAAATTTTAAATTAGGAATATATTAATTACTAAAATTTCCATAAGTATATTTTAACTTTTTTTTTCATCTAATATATCAGCTAGTCTATTATTTAAATATTCATCATAATCAAAAGTGCGTCTTCTTGAGGATGCATTGTTTTTTTTTTCTTTTTTTTTTTTATTATTTTTTTCTTTTTTTACTTCTAATTTTAACCATTCTAGTGTATCAAGAAAAGGTGGTGGAGTATCTTGTATAGGTAATTGTATGTTAGAATGCTTTGGTAAATTTTCAGGATCCATCAGATTTTGAGTAAAAGGATCTAATTTGTTGTTATTATTTATATCATTAAATTCTTCATCTATATTATAAATAGGAGGCCCTCCTTCCATTTTTTGTTTTATCTTTAAATATTTATATCTATCAATTGATGGCCATAATTTTTTTATTTCGTCTTCTTCTTCTTTGCAAGGAAAATCAGTATCATTTATTATCATTTCTCTAAATTTTTTTAAAATTTTCTTAATATTTTTAATGCCATATAAAAGAACATTTTTAGGTAACATTCTACAATCGGTCCATATTTCTACAACTAACATTTGCTTAGGATCAGTAAATTCACACCTATCCTCACACCAATATTTCGTGGCAATTTTATGAACAGCAATACGTACCATTCTACATGTACTAAAACTAGCACTTATAGGCATATAATTTTTATTAACTACCTCAAAAACTTCCCTTTTTTTCATACATTCATTATCTGATCCTACCTCTCTTTTATATAATCCTTTTTCATATGTTAACCAATGACCTTTACCATATTCTATTTTAATAGAAATATCAATGTACCCATTTTCTTTTAATGTGCAAATATATTGCTCTCTATTAACTATTTTTAAATGTGAAGGTAAAGGAATCATTCCTGCTACTAACATTAATGGCCCTTTAAAAATTATACGTATATTGCTTTCTACATTTATTTCCTTACTATATATGCACACGTCAGACATATTTAATGCTATCTCAAGTAAGTCTTCTTGCACATTATCAATTGTAGTATCTTCATTCATATTATGAATTTTGATAGCAACTATTGAATAACCATAAATTTGAGTCTGACAAACATATTTTAAAAGAGAACCAAAAGTATGACCATCTGTTATATTTAACGGCCCTATATAGAACTTCTGATATAACCTTCCACTTTGTGGGTATTTTATTATATCTGTTGCTTCTTCTATTTTTATATCATTTGGTCCAAAATCATATTTATCAATAAAATTCTCTCTATGTATATTAGTATTTATAATATTCTCTTTTTCTTCTTTTTTCTTTTCATCTTCTGTATCCAAAAAATCCATTTCAATAATTTCCATTTGATCTATATTTTTTTTTTTTTGTTTTTCTCTTTCTTTCCGTTTTTCATAAAAATCAGAATAATCACCAAAAAAATTAGCATCTCCATAGCCTAATCCACTTCTATCTCTTCTAATACTAAATCTTGGATAAAAAAGAAAAGGATAAAACATATGCCTTGGTTCATTTCCACTTACATTTACTTTATTAAAAAAATCAAACAATTTCTTATAAATTGGGTAATGATTAACATTAAAATCTATTGCTCTAAAACTTCCCCAATATTCAATAGGCATTCTTTTCATTTTAGGCTCTATCATATTTCGTAATGTTTTTATTTCATAGTTACTTTCATCATCATCATATCCTATATAATCTTTCCATTCACCCCTATTAAGAAGAACCCAATTTTTCCATGTATATAATTCTCCTTCAAAAAATCCTTTCTTTTTTAAATATAAAAAATCTTGTACACTAATTATGTGATTTTCATCATTTTCTTTGTTTTTTGCTTTCTCTGATAATTTCTTTAAGAAATAAATAAAAAAATAATAATAATTGTGAATTTTTAGGTTATCATTTTTGTACTTATAATCTAAAATAATGTTTGTTAATCCTTCTGGAGTTCTAAAAGCATCTTTTGGAAAATGTGGTTCATAACCACTACTTCTGCAATTTTTAATTTGTTTTTCATATTCGTCTATTTCTTCTTTTTTCACTTCATACTTTTTTATATAATTTTTTTTATTAAATATTTTATAGTTTTCGTTTAATTTATCTGAATGATTATTAATTGAATGTTTAAGTTTTTTCTTTTTTATTAGCACTATTGTTTTTTTTTTTTTTAATGGTAGCAATATTTTTCTTTTGTTATTTTTAATATTTATTCCCAAATTTCCTAAAAAAAACATAATTTCTCCATATTCATTAAATGAATGTTTGCCAATTTTTAAAGAATTATACGTGCAAATTATTATTATATATATCCATAATGGAATAATAATAAACCGCATTATAAATAATGTTTTATTTATTTTTTTTTATTTTCCTTTATAAAAATATTTTTCTCTTTCATCTTGAAAAAGTATATTACATTTCAACTTTTTTAACATTATCAAAAGTGTTGAATATTAAATATTTATTTTTTTTATTATTTTTTATTTTATCTTATTTCATATATATATGAGTAAAGAAGTTTTTTTCATTTATATTTGAAATTTTTTTTTTTTTTTTGTTTTTTTTTTTTCTTTCTAATAAAAAAAATTTTAATACATATATTGTAAAGCCTCTTTATAAATGCGTTATGATAAAATATTATTCTGTTATGCATTAATAGAAAATAAATTTTTCAATTTTTTTTTTTTTTTTTTTTTAGTTGTAATAAATATTTTTCATTTAATGATATTTTTGAATTATTTATCATAAAATTTCCAGATATATTTTTCAATTATTTATGTCTGAGCTAAAATTTATCTTCATTTGTTTTTGTTTTACTTCCTTAAAATCAAATTAACTGAAGACATTTATGCAAAGTTGTAAAAAGCTTTAATATTTTTTTAATTAGCTATTTTAAAAGAAAAAAAAGAGTATGTATAATAAGAGTACACAAAAAATTTTTTTTAAATAATAATCTTATGAAAATTAATGTTTTTTTATTGATATATTTTCTTATTTTTTTTTTCTTAGGTGTTTGTCTTTATATATCACATTTATATTTATTTTTCATTATAATTAAATTTATATACCTAAAAACAAAATAAAACAAAAGAATGGAAGTCTAATAATATAATAAAACACTCTCAAATCTTAAATTTTTATTTTGAAATTTTTTAACATAAAATTAAATAAAATAAAAAGTAATTTGAAAGTTTCCTAAAATTTCTTTTTCAAAAAAACTGTAGAAATATCAAAATTATATTGCTTTTATAAAATTAAGATAAAAATTTAAACAAAAAATAGAGCAAAATTTTGTTAAACACTTTTATTTTTTAATTGTTATCCTTATATTTATTATTTTTTTTTTTTTTTTTTTTGTAAAGAATTCAACTAAGTTGTAAATAATGAATTATTGTAAATTATTAATTATTTTATATCTTTTTATTCAAATTTATTCAACAGAGAATGATAATGAAGAAAACAATGAAATTTACAATTTAGATATGGATAATTTTGATGAAATTATAAATGATGAAGAAAATTTCACATTTTTGGTTGTATATACTCATTGGTGCCATTGGTCTAATTTATTATTAGAAGATTTAGAAAAAATATCAAAACTTTTAAAATATGTAAATAATATAAGAATAGCTAAAATTAATGCGGCTGTAAATACTTCAATAATAGAAAAATTAAATATATATGGATATCCATCTTTATTTTTGATTAAGAGAAATAACATAAATAGATATAATGACATGAGAAATGTAAGAGGGATAGTATTATGGATATATGAACACCTAGATGAAAGTGTATTTGAAATAGATAGTAAAGAAAAATTGAATGCATTCTTAGAACTAGATGAATATAATAACTCTATTTTGTTTTTTGTAAGTAGAAACAAAAAAGAAGATAAAATAATGATCGAATTAGTCAAATTATGTATATTAATAGGGTATACTTTTTGTTTTTATATGAAACAAGAAAATATAATTGACTATTTTGAAAATACAATAATGTTGGAAAAATATCATTTTGATAATAAAAAATCTCAAAATAAAGATATATACACAGTTTTATTTAAAAATAATGATTTTGATGAATATTTTTATTTTTTAGATGAAGAGTTAAATATATTATATGACTCTGACTATTCAAAAGAAGAAAAAATAGAAGAATTAAAAAAATGTATTTCAGAAAAAATTGAACCTTTAGTTATTAAATTTTCTGAATATTATTACTCTTTATTATTTTCCCAAAATAAAGTTACTTTGTTTATATTATATAATGATATAAATCAGTTAAATAAATTAGATATTATTAAAAGTGCAAAAAAATATAAAAATATTATGTTTTCCATATCAGGTAATAAAGAGGTTTTCGAAAAAAGATTATTAACTGAATTGCTTATAGACGATTTAAAAAAGCCAGTAATGAGAATTATAGAATTCAAAAGATCCATACTAATCCCATATAAATATAAACCTATAAATGATGATATAGAAATAAATGAAAAGGTAAATTCTTTAATCACATATTTTATATAATTTTTTTTTTATGTTTTTATAATTTTCTAAATAATATTTAGTTTATATTTATGTATAGTGTTCTTTATTTCATTTTTATAATATTTCATTTTTCTTTTTCATATATTATGGACATTTTTTTAATATATTTTATTTGTTTCTAGAATATTGAAGAGTTTATAGAAGGATATATAAAAGATAAAAAATATTTTTATAGAAAAAGCGAGAGACCATTACCTGATGAATTTAATAACGGATATGTAAAAATAATTGTTGCTGATACATATGATGATTATATATTTAAAAATGATAAAAATGTTTTAGTATTATATTATGCACCTTGGTGTGGTCACTGTTATAAATTTGAACCCATATATAGAGAAGTTGGAAGAAGATTAAAATTATATAGTTCTAAATTTAAAGATTATGAAGATGATATAATTATAAGTAAAATAGATGCAGTAAACAATGAAATATACAATATAGCTATAGGTGAGAAAAAAATATTCATATATAATTCTATATATATTTACATACCTACATATATATATATTATTCACTTTTTATTTATTTAATTTATTTTTTTTTTTTTTAATATTTATAGATGCATATCCAACTATTTATTTATATGTAAAATCGAATAAAAATAAACCTATTAAATATCTTGGAGCAAGATCTGTCCAAAGTATTGTTACATGGATTTGTGAAATTGTAAAAAAAAAAAAAAAAAAAAAAAAAAAATATATATATTTTTACATATATATATATATATATGCTTTTATGTTGTCAATATATTTTTTATATTATAGTTATTAAATATTAATTTAATATGATAATATTTTAAGATAAAATTTTGTAGTTAAATTATTATTCATTGAAATAATTAAAATTTTAATTTTAAATTATATTTTTTTTCTTTTAGACAAATACAAATTTAGATATACAAAAATTACTTAGCTTAAATTTGGATGAGGAACAACTTTTTGAAAATTATGAAGAATTGTGAATATTTTAAAATTTTCATTATACTTCTTTTTTTTCATTTATTTTTGTTTTAATTCTTTTTTTATTTCTTATTTACATTATTTTTTTTTTTTTTTTTATGATCGTCTTGTAAAAATATTTGCGGGTATATGTTTTTGCACTCATATATGATTTGCAAGTTTCTACTTTTAATTTATATATACACTGATATATAATCATATTATTTTAATTCAAATTTTTTTTTTTTTTTATTTTATTCTAATTTAATTATTAATGAATTTGTTGTTTGTTTTTTTTTTTATGTGCCATTTGATTAGATATATTTATTACAAAAAATTATATTAAAAAAAATTTTTTTTCTTCTCCTTAAGAATAAAAATATAGTTTTTTTTTCTATTAAAATATTAAAAATTTTCTTGATTATATTATTTTTTTTAACAATGTGTCAGTGTGTTTGGGAATTATTGAGTATAGAAAAATCTTTCATGAAGCTAAATGATAGCTGTGGAAAGAATTCTATATATAAGATTTCTAATAATGATGAATTTGATAACTTTAATGATTCTAAAATAGTCACAGAGAAAGTTGACTATGATTATACAGATGAATTATCAAAACATTCCAAAATGATAAAAGATAAAAATAAATTAAAGTTTAAAAAAATTATGAATAAATTTTTTATTTCAGATATTTCGAAATACGTTAAAGCATACGTAAAAAAAAATGATAGCAATATTAGAAGTGAAATAGGTAAAATTTTCTTTTAAAATAATAATATATATGAGTGTATACACATAAACACATGTTTTCTTTTAAAGGAATTACATCAAAAAAAATTCCCATATCAGAAGAAGAAAGATTCTGGACAAATAGTTATATTTATAATTTTATAAGTCATTGTTTACTTACATATAATGACTGTAAACACTATATAGTTATAACAGGTAGTAAAAATTTGATTCAGAAATTAACAGGAACTGGTATTATTTTCTATAGAAGAAAAATAACAAAAAAAATAACAAAAAAAAATAACATTTTCAAATAAATTTTCTCTTATAGGTTATGGGTACTATGGTGTCTATTTTACAGATGGAAAAAAAATAGGAGGATTAGGAAATTTATTTATAAATATAAAACAAGTAAGGCATATAAGTTTTAGTATTATGAGAACGTTACAAACAAAAACGACATCAGATAGATCTGCATCTAATAATGATGAAGCATGTAGCTTTATTATTATGATGTAATAATTAATACACTATTAATGTAAATTTATTATTTTTTCTTTTTTCCATAAAATAATATTTGACTTTATTTTTAATTCTATAAAAGCAAATAAAAACAAAATTATTTGAATAAAATTTTAATTTCATTTTAGTTTTTTATCTTTTAAATTTAATGTTTTTTATAAACTTATTAATTTTTTCTAAATAATTAAATACAAAAAAAAAAAAAAAAAAAAAATAAAAATTATATAAATTAAAAGTAAAAACGAACAATTAAAAGTTTTTACCTTTATATGGTAAATAAAATTTTAAAAAATTGTATGACTATATAAAGTCTTCTTTAAATTTTTGATATTTACTAAAAACTTAGACATATGAATTGCATTTCAATTATTTTTTCAAAAGGCTAAATAACAGTTTGTACCTATTCAAACACACTTAAATTAAAGTGTGTTGAAAATTTTGTTAATTATAATAATCCTTGTAAATGTTATTTTATCTTTTTTGGAAAATCAAAACTTATGATGCTTATTTATTTTTTTAAAACATATATGCAATAATCTAATTTTAACATGAACATGTAATGATAAAAATCATTTTATTTTGTGAAAATACATGTATAGTAATGTAAATGAAAACAAAAGTTATGTATTTGATATAAAAATCATTTATTTATAAAAAGACCAGAACATAAACAGGAATATGCATATTTAAAAATTAATTTTTAAATATGAAATTGAATTTGTTGAATTATAAAGAATAAAAAAAAAAAAAAAAAAAAAAAAAACTATATTATTATTATAGGAAAGATGTTAAGTCCTAATTTTAATTATCCTTTATGTATGCACATATTTACTTTAGTTTTATTAATAACATATTTTTCAAAACATATAATGTAATAAGAAATCTTGCTCCTTATATATATTGAAGTATAAGAGAAAGTAATAAACATATTTTGTTTATGTGATAATACTTGTTATATTTAAAAACGAATGTTGCTTTAATTGGAACCAAATATAAAAATATATAATTTAAAATATAATGAAATTTCTACAAATATAAAAACAACTGTTATTTTTATTGAATTATATATAAAAGTACAACATTACAATCGATATTAAGTATTTTTAGATGGAAGTTATTTAAAATAATAAATATTAACAGAGTTTTTCTTTATATTTAGAAAAAATATAAAATATGATAGAAATTATTATTTAAAAAATAAATTCATACAAAAAGGGAATTATATAAAATATTTATTAGATTTTAAATTCAATTTTATAATTTTTAGTGTTACCAAAATAAGACAGCTCAGAAGATGAATTTTTTTATTCTAAAAATATAAAAGAACATATTTATTTTAATCACTATGATTACTTTATGAATATTATAAAACTTACGACTAATAATTTATATAACTTTTATATCAATATATATATTTATGTCTATTTTGAAATTTTCATATTCTTTTTAAATATCATGTAGTAATAAAAGATATATTTTTATGGAATAAAATATTTCTGATACACCAAAAATAATAAATTAAGAAAACAAATCATATATTACTCTTCACATAATCTTTAATTAGTATATTATAATTAAAAATATAAAATTAAAGTACAATTATTTCATTAAAAACATATATATATATGTATATATATTTGATATCTTACCTTTAAGCAATAGTAATAAATAATAAAAGTATTATGAATATGTAATTATTTTAATAGACTTTATTACAAGTAATGAATTACTTAGTGTAAACAATTTAAAACATTCATATTTTTATTTATAAATATTATATCAATATTTTTTTGCGTTAATACATATAAAAGTTACAATTATAAAAAAAAAATAATAATGATAATATATCCTTAAAAATAAAAAATTAAATTAACAGTTTTTAATATTTCAAGTTTATTCTTTATGTATGTTGTAATTAATGAATTAAATGAATGTGTTCATGTATTTGAGAATATATATCAATAGTTTAAATAAAAAAATTAATAAAAGAAGAATGCTTAGATCATACTTAAAGCTAACAAAAATATAATTGAAAATCTTATTAAATTGTGTGGATGATGAGAAAATTATGTTATTCCAATAAAATGAAATGGGAAAGAAAATATTTATAAGACAGAAAAAAAAAAAAAAAAAAAAGTAATAAAAATAAAACTAAGAAAAATTATTTTTTAGTTCATAATTTTTTATTAGAGTTACATATTAAGAAAAAAAATACATATTACAATGATTTTTATTTCTCTTCTTTCATAGAATATATATATATATATACTTATATTTTTTTTTTTAAATGTATAAATTGTCTTTTTTTTTTTATTTTATTTTTTACATAGTACATATAGATTCTTTAAAAAAAAAAAATATTTGCGATAAATAACTTCTAAAATCTTTCAATAAAAAGTCTATTTTTCTATCCATTTTGTCAAAATATTTATTTTTTGTTATTTCTTTTTTAATTTTCATCTTTAATTTATTATTTTCTATATTAATGAAATATGAACTAAAATGAAAATAGCAGTTGAAAAATTCTATACATAAAAATATACCAATTATATAAGCATCACATTTTTCATTGACTTTTGTCTGTAATAATTTGTAAACCTTAAATAAAAAAATATATATATATAAATATATAGATAGATAGATATAAACACATATATATATATATATATATACACTAATGTTATTTTTATGATTAAATTAGAAGATATTTACCAACAATAATTGCCTTAAAATCAAAGAATTTACACATTTTGCTTGATTACGTGATTTTATGTGAATTAAATAGTTTAATATTATATTTATAATAATATTAAATATTTCATATTTATAGCTTTTTCTATTTTTTATTGAATTTATAAGAAATTTAAATGAATACATATTAACAAAATGATATGAAAAATAACATTTATTTTTTGGGTTTATTATAATCGTATTTTCACTGAATTTTTTTTTTTTCTTTTTTTTATTTTCATCATTTAAATATTTCTTATTTTTTATTTCAACATCAATTAAAATAAATTTTTTTTTTAATAATATTTTATAGATCTTATTATTAAATATAAATATAATTGGGATGTGAAATAATATGTTAGTTTCTTTAAATTTTTGTTCATAGTTGTCATAATAAAAATGCTTTTGAACTATTAATAGTTTGCTCTTATTTTTTAAAAATTTCACAAATATTTTAGGAGGACCAACTATATTTATATAATTTTCTAAAATATTTTTCAAAATATTTTTTTTGGTATATTTTTTTGCTAGTATTATATTTCTTTTAATTTTGTTTTCGTTTACCACTTTATTTGTAATGTTCTTTCTATATATTTTCTTGTAATATGTTAAAAATGATTTTTTAAAAGATATCTTTACAAAATTTAAATGAAACCATGATAAAATAGATTTGTGTGAATGCAAATATGTTGCAGATTTTATTTTTTTAAATTTTTTTTTTACTTTTTTCCTTTTAGATTTTTTATATATATATATTACATTATTTTTGTGAATGATTTTTTTTTTTAAATTCCTTACTAAATTTTTAAGTTGAAACTTTTTTTTCTTTATGATAATTGTCTTTAGTTGGTTTACTCTTTTTATATATCCATTATAATTAAGAAAAAATGGTTTAATGTGAAAATGAATGAAAAAAAAATGAAAAAATATTAAAATTTTTTTGTAAGAAATAGAATGGTTAAAAAAAGTATGATATATAAAATTCATGATAATATCAAAGTACGGGTTGCATATAACACTAATCATTTTAAAAATATTCATTCCCTTATTATATGTTAGAAAATTATAAAAATGATGAATATCTTTTTTGTAAAAATGGTTGTTATTTCTTTTATTTTTGTTTTTTTTCAATATGTTTTTATGAATATATTTATAGCATACTTTATTATCTATATTTAAAGTATGATTATAAGTATTAAGGGTATCAGCAACTTGAACATAAAAAAAAGAATCAAGAATATAACTAATTGACAATATGCATTTACAATTTTTCTTAATTTTTTTTAAAAAAGTTTCACTAAATTTTAATTCGTAATATCTTGTTAAACCTTCTTTACACCATAAATATTTATCTTTTTTAAAATATAAACAATTTCCCCATAAGGAATGGAAAATTTCATGAATAACTAATTTGATGCATAATAATTTTTTATATATGTTATCATTTTCGTTTACTTCAATAATTGATATAAGAAATGTAAAACAATTATAATTTTCTTCACCTATATATTTATATTTGCTTAAAAGTATGAATTGTAAAAATTTTTCTTCAGTTAACTTTTTTCTAAAAATATTTATTTTTAAAAACATTGTTAATATACTTTTTAAGATATTTATAAAAAAAATGTATTTACTTTTATTATATGAGCTGCTCTTTTCAATGAATATATAAACATGTAATCCCCTAATTTTAAAATATATTTTAAAATATAAACCAATGAATAAGCAAAAAGTATAATGGACTATTTTATTAGTTCTATGATATTCATAAGTTATAAACTCTTTTTCTTTATTTGATTTTGAAAGTTTTTTATTATTGTACTTATTAATTTTTTTAGAATAATAAAATTTTCTTTTTTTATAATTTCTTATTATATATAGGTTCCCATATTTATTTTTTAATAAATTCATAATAATATAATAAATACTTTTATTTATAGAATGTTTTTTTAAAAGAAAAGAATTAAAATACACTTTGATCTTACTGTAATGAATATTCTTTAACTTACTGTTGGTTACAACTAAGTTTGAGGGATTAATGACATTAATAAAATTTCTTTCATTTTTAGTATTTGCATATTTTAACTTTTCTTTACATTTTTTTATTCTTTTTTTTGTGTTTTTATTTTGTAACTTATTGATATTTTCTAAGTAATTTATATGTTTATTTATTTTATTATAAGAAGATAGATAACTCAATTTAAAATTATTATTAAGATTCTTTGAACCTTTTAACTTTATCTGAAAAGAGATACTTAATTTAAAATTTGCTTTATAAATATTATCTTGTAAACATGGAAAAATAAGTGGTAAATAAAAGAATTCACAAAACGTATTTATATAATTATAACTATTTTTATCTAGAAATTTAATATTTTTAAAATCAAAATTTAATATTGTCTCTGAATTATTTTGAAAATATAAATAAAACTTATTATCAGTAGTAGAATCCTCTACATAATTACTGTTATTATTTTTACATTCCCTTTTTTCTAAAGGTTTTCTTATTTTTAAAACATATATTCCTTCTATGCTTTCTTTTTTATTCTTATAATAAAAAAACGTTAAAAGTTTATATATTCCACCTAATACAAACCCTTTTAAATAAATTTCTATATAATTGTGTTTTTTTTTTATATTTTTATCATTTATTTTTTCTATAATATTAGATGGAAAAACAATAAACATATTAATAATTATTAGATGATTGGTGTCAGTATAAACTCTTAATTTTTCTTTTTTGTTTGTTGTTTTCAAAAAAAATATTATAGAGAAACCACAATATTTAAAAATAGGTGTTAATTTTAAAAATATTAAATGTATTCTATACCTATAAAGAAAAAATAAAATAAAAATTCTGTAATATCTGTTTATCTTTTTTCCTATTGAAATTTATATATTTTTATTTTTTTTAAAATTTTTCATTTAAATACATTAAAGGTTTTATTATTTTATTGGACTTTATATTTTTTTTTAAATGGTACAAATAAAATTGATCAGTTTTCATGGTGTTTTATTTTATTTAAACACATAGAAAATAATAAAAATAAAAAAAAAAAAATAAATAAATAAATAATTTAAAATTATAAAATATCTTAAAAAAAGGGTTAAAAAGATTAACTAATCTATGTGAAAATTTTCATTGCTTAAAATGTGCTGAAAAAAAAAAAAAAAAAAGGTTAACAAATATTAAAATATTTATATTTATGAATATATATATAAATATTAATTATTAATATATTTATAAATAAATGTGTATTTATTTGAATTTAATAAATGTACTTTTAAAAGCTTTATAGGTTTGGCTGGACGAAATAAAACAAAAAGCTATAGGAAAAAAAAAAAAAAAAAAAAAAAAATAATAATATAAAATAGTATGGGAAAATAATGTATATTTAATTAATAATTTATTTTCATACCACAACATATAAAACAATGTCAAAAGTAATATCAAAGAAAACATAAAAAAATTCATGTGAACTGTATAAATCAATATTTGAAGGAGACAAACATAAAACTTTGTAAATAACCAACAGAATAGGTTTTAATATTACAGCAAAAAATATTAATCTATATTTTCTAAATAAAAAAAAAAAAAAAAAAATACATATATATATATATATCTTTATGTGAACAAATATCCATGTAAAAACAATTATTTATTAATTTACTAATATATTATTCATATTTTAATGATGAAACTATTAAATATTAAATATAAATATTTAAACAAATTATTAATTTTTCTTACTTATAAATATCATATTTTTTATACAATTCTGCCACATGAAATGATAAATTTTCTTCAGATAAACGCGCCTACAAAAAAAAAAAAAAAAAAAAAAAAAAAAATTTTTATTATACTTAAATTTTAGAAAGATATGTATAAATATAAAACAAAATAATTGAAATTATATCATTAGAATTTTTCATTATGTATTATATTTTTATTTATTTTTTTTTTTTTTTTACTGAAAGAAAAGTTGAAGTAAAATTAATAGCAATAAAAATAAATAGATAAGCGAATGCTTGCAAAATATATCGAGGTGCCTAAAAAAAAAAAAAAAATTTATTAATCATTATAGATATTATGTACATTTATGAAACAAATATATAAATATAAAAAATAAATATTTTAAAATATGTATTTATAATTAGATGTATAATTTAAATGTTCTACTTGAAAATTTCCAAGAAATATTTCAAAAAGACCTGTGTAAAATGATATAACTGAAAAACAAATCATAAATTGAATTTCTATTCTACTTAAATGACTTCTTATATACATATCACCTTAGAAAAAAGGAAGTTATATATATAAATGAATTTAAAAAAAAAAAAAAAAAATTTAACAAATTCTAAAGTAAAAAAAAAGGAAAATGTATTTTACCTAGAGAAACTTGCAAATATATAATAAATGAAATAATTTCTTGAATTTTCTTTAAGATATTTGCTGAAACCCTTAAAAATAAAAAGGAAATATAATAAAATAATATATAAAGAAAAAAGAATTATATATTATTTAGTTTTTTTTATTTAATACCAATAATAAATATACATATATCCTTTATCTTTTATGAAATTTACATTTTTATAATTAAAATATGTAGAAAGAAAAAAAAAAAGCATATTAAGAATCATAAATATGTCTGATTTTTCTCTATATTTAATAAAACATATAGTTATAGCTAATACTAATACTAATAACAAAAATGAAGTAAATAATAATACATTTGGAATAAAAAGAAAATCGTGTGATAGATGCTTAGTTTTATAATCATAAAAAATTACATTTCCCTTTAGATTAATTTTTAGTTTGTTATTATTTATTAAAAATAACATATATCTATTTTTTTGATTTATTTTTATTATTTTTTGAATCCTTCCTTGATTTAAAGGATATCTTTTTATGCAATTAAAATGAGATGTAAAAATATAATTTTCTTCATTTTTTAAAGATGGTTCTAACTTATTTTTCAACCTTATATAATTTAACCACTGATTTGCTGTAATTAATACTAGATATAAATTATTAGATTTATAGGAATTGCTAATATCCTTTTCATTACTTTTTATATTATTATTGTTATCTAACTTATAATTAGATAAATTAGTTTCATTTTCTGATTTACTCCAGTTTATTTTTTCATCATTGTATATATTTTGACTTTCTTCTTTATTTAAATATTCTTTATCTATATTAAAATTATTTAGTATATTAATTGAATTCTTATTTGCTTTAGCTAATACTTCTTGATTTTTATTCCTCTTCTTTACTATTTTATTTTCCTTAAAATCTATTTTTAAGTCAATATTAATTTCTCCTACAAAAAATAATATATATATATATATATATATATTTATTCTAGATTCATAAAAGATAAGAAATATATTTTATTTTATTTCCTTTTATTATTTAAAAAAAAAAAGGAATCTGTAAAATATTCTAATTTCTTTTTATAAATAATTAACCTTCATTAAATGAAAAAAAATATGATGGTTTAAAATTATAATAACTGGAAGCTAGTAAGTGTTCATTTTTATATAGGAATATAAATAAGTCATCTTTATCAACTACATTAATATTTAATATGTAACTCTTACATTTTTCAATAAATAAAAAAATTATTAATAATAATGTGCCTATACTAAATTTTTGCCCTTTTAATTTCATCTTTTCACATTTTTATTTTTGATAAAAATGACATTTTTTTTTTTTTTTTTTAACGTATTTTAAAAAATAATTCAGTTTAAAAAATTTCAAAATAACATAATTTTTAATTCTGTATTAACAAAATAAGAAATAAATATGGAAAGAAATTTACATAAATAAATGAACAATTAAAAATGTAGTACTAAAATTCATAACTAAAAACAGTTCAAAAAAAAAAAAAAAAAAAAAAG